TAGCTCTGCATGAATACTCTTCCAGGTTACATCCATCAATACTGTGTATCACGTGACTAGCAGCATCTGCTCCTGCGCATGTCTTGTTATAGTAGCTTTGAATAACAGTGTTGCCATGGTAAAACGTCACGTTGCACAATTGTGGTTTTGATGTTGACGCGCAGGATAATTTCACATGTTCTCCTTTCAGGAAAGTGTTGTTGCTTCTATTGGTTGATATGATGGTATGTTCGGGCTTATCTTTAAAAGATGCAAAACATTTGGCATGTTCTTACTAATTTTTGGATATGATATTCCTCAGCCCAGAGGTTGAAAATGAAATTTGCTTTTAACTATATAAACATTTTTTAGGCTTAGCATGACACTTTCATACCCACACAATTATCGAAACTTACAAGTTACGTTGATGTAAATTGATCTGTTCATAGGACCTCCAGCAACTCTGTTATCAACTGTGCACAGGTAACCTCCAGTATCTTGTCTTCTAAGACTATCAAACCGAAGAGATAGCGAATTCCCAGTGGTTGTATTAATTAAACGTTGCATGCCTTCGATCTTGGTCCAGGTTATATTTGGCGTTGGGCACCCAGTTGCAATGCATAGTATTTTTAATGTTTTGCCTTCATCTTTGATAATAAAGTTCCTCGATGGGTTTAAAGACATGTTTACAGGTACTAAAAAACAATTTGGTATATGAATTATTTTTACCAACGATCAACCACCATATTGGGAAGTCTAGAAAGGGTTTACCACTTCAATGCAAATTAATGCTCAATATTGCAAAACGGTTGCGACCCATTATATATTAAGCAGCCAGTACTCAACAGGTATACTTCAAAATATTAAAGCCATCATTCCACCAACATGAACGCCATGAACACTTTCTGTTCGTTACCTTGGATTGTTAAGTTTATTTTCGCCTCTCCATAATCGTATTTGTTTTCAGCTTTGCATGAATATTGTTCCAAGTTACATCCATCGATACTTTGAATTACGTGACTTGCAGACACACTTCCATTGCATGTGCTGTCTGGATAGCTTCCAATCACGTGACTTTCATCGTAGAAGGTAATCTTACATGTTTGTGGCTTGGAGTTGGAGGAACAAAACAGTGTTACACTTTCTCCCGTCATGAAGGTGTTATTAGCTTTATTTGTTGTCAAATAAGTCTTTTCTGGTTTGTCTGGAAAGTGAAGTAAAACATGAAGGTTGGTTTTAAATTAATATGCACTGATCCACCTTATATGCTATAGTCAATGTGCGAATAGTCATTCAAAACTTCAATTCTAAAACCTTCTTCGCTAAAACTCTAGTGTAGGGAACATCGCCAGTTTCAGCACTAACGTTTTAAAATGCCTCATCATATATACTATATCCTTCTGAATGTTAAACCCAGGTGTACCTCAATACTTACAGTCCACAGTAAGGTAAGCATCAGCTTCAGCTCGAGGACATTCATTTCCATTCTTGACTGTTACCACAACACGACCTTCGTCTGTTCGATTTACCTTCTGTAAATAGATGACTCGTCCATTCAGAGCCTCTACGAACTGACCAGACGTATTCCAGTATACAGCAAGAGGTTCAGTACCATTGATGGTGATTGTAAAGTTCACATCAGACCCTTCAGTTACAGTCATATTTTGTGGTGGAACGATTATCACAGGTGGATCTGAATATCAATAATTGTTTTCGTAATTATGGAATGCTATACCTTTTTCATTAGTATGAAAATTTGAATAAATGGAAAGAATGTTACTCAGCACTGGTTATTTGTAAGTCAACCGCCGCCATGTTGATGGTATGCAACAAAAGATTTGTTATTAGCGGTCAATGTTAATATCACCAACATGGCCACCACCTCTTTGTCATTTTGGACCCTCTTGGGGATGATTGCAAACCATCATTTGTTAAGAGTTATTTAGTTTCTCAGTAAGGGGATGAAAATATCTACTGTCATTATGAAGCGCGCCAGTACATAGAAAATAACAGAATGTATCTGGTTGCACTAAGAAAATATGTTGGTTGCACTGATTAAGTGAGATTCATGATTGCATTATTTGACTTCCAATACCAGAATCCCTTGCACACTTTTTCTTTTGTTCTGTTAGTAAGCATCAATTGTCTTATTATTCTCATGAGGAAATATAAATTCAATAAGAAAAAAAATCGCGAAGCATCTTGGTAGTGAAAGTCAAATGACGCCATCATACAAACTTCTCAAAGACRAATGGCCTAATAGCTGATTATTAGTGACGTGATGATGATGATGACGATGATGATGATGATACAGTTTTAAGGCAAGACAACTTTGAATAAAGAAATCATTACTTAGGGTGTCAATGGCCATGACGTTGCTCATCCAAATCGTTTATACTTGTAATACATACTTGCAGGTAGGTGTGTTCATCTGTGTTCACACACTACCCGGCTTACCTTTAACTTTGACCTGTACTGAGTCGCTAGGAATGTCACCAACAAGATTTTTAGCCACACAATAAAAAGTGTTATTGTTGGGAAATGAGGCATTGGCGATGTAGATGTTGCTTTGGTTGATTGCTGTAGAAACGTTATTGTGATAGAAATCATATCCAAACACTGGGGGATTGGCTCTTTCCATTAAACACGTTAGCGTAATGTTACCATTAAGACAAACTGTTTTCTTGTCGGCAACAATCGTAACTTTTTTCGGCGTATCTTGAAGCATAAAATGAAACAGTGATACATAAAATTAACGTCTAATAAACTAGAATAATAATAATTGACCGAGATTTTATTGTTAAAATTGACTAAACCTCCTATAAAAGTTTCTATCCCGACTGTAATCTGCCTTCTCAGGTCCGTTTTGACTTCATAGTATATAGCCTGACTCTCCAAATACTCACATTGTACGTTTAAACACATGGTTACAGACTTGTCAGGAGGAATGCCATTATATGCAACACAAGTATAGCATTCACTGATGTTCTTTATCGTGACATTATCCAACCTCAACGGACTTCCTGTGCCTACAATCACACCATCTTTTGTCCAGTTGATATTAGGAAAAGGGTTGCCGGTAGCAACACAGTTCAGATTCACTGTCCGTTTTTCTTGAGTGTTGACGTTGATATTAGACTTTGGACTTGTTATTAAAGGTGAGTCTAAATGAAAATAAAGGTAAAGGAATTAGCGAAACAAATTAAACTTCGGCTATTCCCGTTCTATCTTGGCGTTTCAGGTTAGTAGCTAGTAATCAATGCTAATAAAATGACGAATACTAAGCTAGCTAGTTTCTTAGAAATATATTTGGTTACAAAACAATGCACGCTCCTTCACAAAACCCCGGATAAAATAGACCATACGTAATATAACGTTTTATTGTACTCTTAAATGTCCTATTTGACCAACCCTTTGCTTCAGCTGCCGAGATCAAAATTGTACTCTTTTCCCGCGTTATTATTTAATGAGTTGAGTTTTACCAAATGTTTTTGGCCAATCAGAACGTGGGGATTTATTTTTGTATGTGATTTTTAGTACGTATGTACTTACTTTCTATGATAAGCGTGGTGAAGTAAGGAATGGTTTCAGAATCTTCGTCATGCGTCAGTAATACTTTGTAAAGGGTATTATTATCCTTGGTAGTAAGGTTTGTTAATGTAAACACGATAGTTACATTGGTACCATCCTGTGAGGCGTTCAGCTTCAGGTGTGATTCCCTGTTGACAAAGTCAGGGTATACAAACGTAGGAGGGTTTCGTCCACGAGTGCATTTGATTATCTGTCTTCCATCCCTATACACTTTTACGAATGTCCATTTCGTTTCTATCCCATCAAACTGTTTAAAATCTGCCTTCCAAGTTATGTCAACACCTTGTCCTTCAATCCCAGTCACCTTGGTGGCTTTATCTGGGGTCCAGTCAATAGATAATCCCTCTGTTAAAAACAATCAAGTTATTTTTGTCAGTAAATTGTGGATAAAACGCGCATTGTGTTTAGTATATTTATTAAAATAGCTACAAATTTAACCCAAGTTAACTGTGATTTAACTAGACTGCTAAAATTATCTAAAATAGCGCATAGAATCGATTCCTTTCTTCAACGACCCTCGTAGGTGTACCCCGTTTTTCCTATTGATTTTGCGTTTCTGCCTTGACACACCAGTACTCGTGATTCGATTGCTGGCGTTTCCATCTATCAAACTTACAATCCTCTACGGTCTCTTTTTTGGTAACTTGACTGAATCATGTGATCAACCCTGCCTACATCGCTGGACAATATTTCAAAATGCGTAAAGGGAAATGGGTTGCTAAGTTTGTTACCGTAAACTTCGGAAAATAAGCCCTAAAAATAAGCCCACTAATTTCGCATTCATAATGATGACAACGATATTTGCCGTGCATCATTATGCATGTACACTAATGAAAAGTACCACCCATGCTTTTTCCATATAATATAAAATGTAGTTGGTAAATATCGAGTAAGCAACCTATGATTTATTGAAGTATTATATAGTGAAATCCTGCTTCGTATCGTTTTTAAACTCAAAAAACCTATATCCGCAACAGTCATCAATCGGCAATCTTCAAGTTTTTCGTAGGGTATTTCAAGATGTGTAAAGTAAGAGTATGTCTTTGTTTATTCAGAAACAATGTATACTATTTATTTAAGAACGCTTCCAGCTTTATAACACTTCACCTGCTTAATATATTTCGGTGCAATTAAGTAAATTAATAATAGTGGTTGTAATAATTATTATTGATTCAGAGATAATAATTTTTTACCTGTAAAAGTAAAAGTTGCTATCTGTACAAGTACAAGTACAAAAACAGCAACTGCAAACATCGTGATTTCGGTTTACTTCCCAAGAACTTCTTGTATGCTTGCTTTTTATAAGTGCTGATTTTATCAACGCATTTTCAGCTCTGTTGAACATATCGTTCTGGATGATAGCTTGGAGGTTAACCCCTTGAACGACTTACAGCATTTCAGCATATTTCAAAGAAACTAAGACTTGTCTAAACACAGCGAATTCCTATTGGGTAGAACGTGCCTTATACACCATTCACACCAAGGCTTAAACATGTTTTAAGTGGTTTAACTAAACAGGTTTGGAAAACTATCTACGAACACTGCACGATATTTGGTGAAATAGCGCATGTAAATTATCCTTTGACTTGCTCTGACAATATTTTAGAAAGTTTCATTATATTGTAGGTTTCTAGTTTCTCAATTTTTTTCCTAATGAAAACATAGTTTAACTAAACACGTTTAGGTGTGAATGGGCATTAGTTTTATGAGTATTTTTTCTGGGTATTTATAGATTATTAGAATATCTTCGCCGAATGTATTTTGTTATGAACGTTTTCTTTGTCTCAATCAGAGTTTTTGTCATATTTTCCATTCCAAGTAATTCCTTCAAATGTTCAAAGGAAAAATAAATAATTTAATAATGTGATGAGTGTTGTAAAAAAAATACTAATTTTGAACCAGAAATTAAAAGAAAAAACTAGTTGCAATGGGGTAATTTGAGTTAAAGTTGAGCAGAAGTTATTTTAGAATATTATCAGCAGACCAGAACGTTGTAAACATAATATTTTTTTCCAGTTGATTTCACAGCACATGCCACAGAATCAGCACTGCATGGCACTGACACATATTAACAACAAAGTAATTTTGCTCATTTTAAAGTATTCAAAAATAAAAAATAAATTAAACCATGGTAAATTTAATTTTCTTGGAATGTCACATAATTTTCGAGAAAACAAATTCGTCAAAAATCGATCCTCTGAAGGGACCAGAATATGCTCCAAATCTCAGGATTGCCACATGCTTTTGAAAACCGTGGGTGTACTGGTTTATAACTGCCTTAAAACTGAGGCCTCAAAGTACTTTTCTGGGACAGCAGAACAGTGTTTAAAATGGTCGGGGCAAGGCGTTGGGGGGGGGGGGGGGGGGGGGGGGGGGGGGGGTAGGTGGGGCTGCAGTCCTCCCCTCCCTATCTCAAATACACAAAAATTAGACAAAATAAAAATGTAATTCTTGCTCATATAATCCCTTCACGCAGACATTCTTAGGGTCTGTCATGAAACATTGCGTGACAGACACTAAGAAAGTCCACACAGGAGGCTATAAAGTACTCTGACTGGTAAATAATGTTTCCTCCATCATGAATTTATTACTACAGGTCTAAATATTCATAGAATTAAGCAATTATTTTTAAACTTTTCTTAAAAATTTTAACGGACTCAGTCAAATCCCAGTCACATAAGATATATGCATAGTTTATCAGAAAAAGCGTATATGGGGAAAGTACCACAAAACGAATGTCTCTCCCATTTCTAGTCTTATGACTTATCAAATGCTGAATCATTTAGATGGTAGGACCATGGAAAAGAATATAAGTTTCAAAGATACCTAAGAAAATTTATAAGCTTAGTTTTAAATATGGAAGATACCCAGACTAAACAGTTGAAATGAAGGTGCACGCTTGACGGCTTAACTAGCTATTGGTTCTTGACTGACTAAGATTCATTACTAAATATATCATTTCTTCTCTGTTACGACCTCAAAAATATCCTTATCTTGATCATAATCATCTGCATTAGGTGGACCTGGCTCCATTAATCCATTGTAAACTTTATAGTAAACTATACTTGAGTCTGAATCACATATTCCTAGAGTGACACCAAGGTTCCTTGAGCTATATTCTGGAGTATCTCGTAAACATTGTTGGATCTCAGTCACAATATTTTGAATTTCTTCTACTGTTAACGATGTGTTCACACTCAGAGGTACAATTATTTCCTTCTCTGCTTTTTTTCTTGGTTTTCCACTCAAATAAACACGCTTTAGTTTATCAGAGAAGTGAATTTCGACTCCAAACCAATGTTTACTTTCACAGAGCTCAAGATAAACCAACATGGCGGATCTGGACGTGAAGGGGTTGTCTTTGTCGTATCCATGAGCCTGGATGGCTAGATATTGAGGGTGATTTTCAAACCAGTTTTTCCTCTGTATTAAATGAGAATTCTGAGCCATAAATTAATAGAAAGGGAAGAATATAATATTCTAAAACTTGCTTCGAACTCTTCCTTCAACACGTTCGCCGCTGCCTGCAAATTTCGAAAGGCGTTCCTAGAAGTACAAGATTGAGACTGAGTTCTATACCACAGGGATCCCAGTTACCCATCCATAGTCTTGAAACCAAGTGAGAAAAATTGACTGCAAAAACAATATTATTTTAAATCCCAGGACCCAGCAAGGTGGAAAACACACAGGTAATGTATTGCCAAGAAAGGCATTAATGTAGTGCAACACAAAATGTGCACAGAATGTGGTTGGATGTAATTTTGTAGACAAAATTTAAACCATGAATTATTCATAGGCTTCATTTCATTATTCAATATCACTCACTCACATTTCTGGAGCTATTCTACGCTACTAGTATTGCTATATTATTGGGTTTATCAAGGTTTAGTATCCGTGGGCTCAAACACTTTCTGGTTCATGAGTCTAAGACTTGTTAATGGACATCCACCGATGCCAAATATCACTCCCAAAGTCAATGTTAAAATTGCAAGAGCTTGGGAATGTTGTAGCTGATAATACCAGGCAATGTCCAGGAAATAAAGGGATTGGGGGAAACTGAAAACCTCTTTTGCATCAGACTATAGCCTCTTCAGGGGGAGGGGGGGAGGGGAAGGCAGACCAAAACATTACCAGACCCCCACAAACTTTGATTACACCCCTGTAGATATATTTTATTTTAACAGGGCTTCATTCAAGTGATGCCTTCTGCATGACAACATCTACTTGCACACAAAAAATACTTATAATAAATAATAATAATAGGAATTAACAGTCAAATCCACAGAGTGGCTCAGAGTGATTTTAGTGGAGGGAGGAAAACCGGAGAATCTGATGTAAAACCAGACACCAAGCCCAGCAAGACTTAAAACCAGATCACATCTTGGTGAGAGGTAAGTGCTCTCACTGTGATACCAACCATGCTTCAGTGCTTTTAATAATAATAAATTTTACTTTAGCTTTCTACTGAAATCATTCGACCCATAACTTGGACAATGAATGTAAAGAAACATGTAAACGTAAGATATTTTTTATTTGCTTAGTGCAAATTAATAAGTTATTATTTCTTATTTATTTAGTAATTAATACTAATTACAAGAAATCTGTTTCATTTTTATTTACAGCGCAACGCTCAAAAGTATGCATGGTCATGATCATTTGATGTATGGGTATACTTCTATGCACAGATTCTGTACATTAAACCAACACATTTTGATGCAAAGCTGGCTGGTGTTACCAAATAAGGCATAGAAATGCTAATTTGGCAGGAAAAAGGCTGTGCATATAGTATGCTAATACTAACTTTAAATGAGGTGTTTGGAAGACTGGACTGAGTCACGTGATAGGCTCATAAATATTCCCTGGTGGTTCGATGTCGCTCGGTAGAGTTTTCTAATCGTAGTGTTTGAGTTCAAGAAATAGATAAATAGTGTGCGTTCACCCGTACATGAGGTCATACTTTTGCGCAATGCACTGTAAATATAGTGTAATTTTTTAAGTAACACCAAGCTTTTGGCCGTCTTGGCCAACATCATCTAATCTTTAAGAATCAAAGGTTCTAGTAAGCTTGGTATTGTGTAGGATAGGAAGGCATAGGTCCAGCTCGGTGGTAAGACTGTGCTTGTTGTTCATTCATTCCTTGTTGTCTTGAACTGATTTCTTTTGACTTCTGTTGTCTACTAAATGTTTGCAAATCCTTGAAATGTTGTCGAGTCAGCTCTCCTAAATCATCAAATACTGTAAATAAAAAAAACACAAACATAAACAACAAGCATTCAAAATGTTAGTATAATTGCTAAGCTTCACAGAGTATATTTTGGGGGGAGGGGGGGGGCTAAAAATCTAAAAGACAATTAGGCAAGTTAGCATTATACACCAATTTCTGAGCACTATTTTGCTGATTTTCATGAACTGGATTGGTTGAATAAGCTGTCTTACTGTATGGACCTTGATCATTGATCATACATGTGCTAACATGTTCATGAACAATAAATCCACCCCACCTCCCCCCCTCCACCACCACCCCCCATGTTCGAGTGTTTCAGGATAAGGTTACGTGAAAACGAAATAAGAAAAATACCTAATACATAGTATGTATATATACCTATAATATATTTAGAACCAAACACCCATGTACTCTTAAGTATAAGGTGTCAAATGAATTGTATTGTATTGTAAGGTTATGCAAGGCTAAACAAGTGTTTTTATCATCATGGGAATAAATTAGCATGGCGCCATATCATTAAGATCCAAGAATGACAGTGTCTAATGATCTAATGTACTATACTTTTTAATGAATCTAACGAGGATTTCAATAGCATAGATCTACAACTCAGTGACATGTTTGACATACCTCTAGCATTGTAGATATGATCTCCAGAGGATACTACCTTCTGTAAAAAGTTAACCATTGCCCCAGTAGCTATCAACCTCTCACCCAGTGATAAGCCCTCAAAGTACTGGAAGTCAATGGCAAATGGGTTCAAGGGTGCTGGATACATACACAGCTTTACTACTTCTCCAATGATGTCCCATAGTTTAGAGTCTATAAGGAAATGAATTATAAATTAAATCTAGAATTTAAAAATTTAGATTATGTACAAACACCTGTGCATTAAAGTATGTGAATACATTATCGCCAGGCAAACGATGAATTCGCACATCACGCTGTAAGGCCTTATTATTTTAGTGATACAGTCCTATGTACATGTAGAGCTGTATTCTCAGTTAAGTGGTATTATTTACCATTAAGCTTCCATGATGTTGTTGATTTAAGCTTTAAAGGACTGTCTCGTAGCTTGCTCTCATCACCTCCTCCAGTGAACGACACCAGCCTTTCATGATTAGATCGTACCTAGTAAAAATGTGTCAAATAATAATAAAGCAAATTAGTACTGCATGATATAGGACAGAGTGTTGTTGAGGCCATAAAGCCCTAGCATTTCCAAACAAAAAAACTTCACCATAACTCTACTTACCCATACATAAGGACAGTTGTACCTCGCATAAGCAGCTATCAAAAGCAGTGTTGATTTGTCATCCTGGAAAAGTACAACATGTATATTAACTTGTTCAGTGGCCTAAATATTCATTGTCAATTTAAAACCCAGTCCATTCAAATGATGATCCATATATATAATATTATATAAAGTTCTATCTGACACATGTAACACCAGGAGCCAGACTTGTATAAACTACAGCCAGAACAAGCACTATCCAACAGACAAACTTCATTTATGGCATGATTCAAATGCAGGAAGCTCAAATAAGAGGTACCTGCTAGAGTTTATATATTCACCAGATAGTGCTTTTATCAGCTTGGATAGTGCTTAGAGTGCATATCAAATATCCATGAAAAATGTTGTAAGAAGTTGCACAAATCTGTAGAATTTTAAATAGAGCGTTTTAACGTGCCAACACAGCGGCCATTATGGGGTACCAAAACGATACATTTTCTATCCTCCGGGAATTGAACTCTATTTTTATGTTTTCACATGAGTGAAAATGCTCTATAGTAGACCTCAGTAAACCATAGAAATACAAAAATTTAAACTAATTTGTACAATTTTGTCAGTGAACTTTTTCACAGACACATGGTATGCACTGTAACTGATAGAAAAATATACCAGTAGCCAACAGTACAGTATTAATAGAACAAACCTTCAGGTCAATATCTCTTTCACTAGGACTTGCTGGTGGTAATCCAACATCCATGAAGCCATAACCACTCAAACTAATAGATGGAAAATATTGAATAAATATTTACTAATATTATTTAGGGAAGCATGGGCGGAGTAGTGGTGAGATTGCTCGCCTCTGACCGAGGCAACTATAAGGTCTAATTCCTGGGCTCAGCATGATAATGTCAGTAAATCAAAGTTTTTTCTCCGGTTTTTTCCCCCTCTGCAAAAATCAAATTCTAAATTCTGATTCAATCTATTTGTAGCCTTATCAAGTGTGCGCAAAACCGGTTAGACTTTCCCTCCACCATGTAGTGGTCAATCCGAGTAATTTGATACTTTTCAACCATACAAGTACATAAAACAGAGTTCTCCCCCATGACCTTTTTAGTCTCATTACGTACATTTATGACAATCTTCACTAAAAATGGCTGTCAACTTGATAAAGAGTAATAAAACAGAGATAATTAAAGCCATAATATGTTTTCTTGCGCCCACATTAATTCTTTGTTTTATTATAATGAATGTATAAATAAAGCAAACGCACATGAATGATAAAATATGTGATACCTTTTCTGGGTGTTGGTTGACATGATGAGTGATTGGCTATAGAAGTGGAAAATAACCAAGCAAAAAAATAAATGAATGAATGAAAAGGAAGTAAGATTTAAACAAACAAACTGAAAAGAAACAAATAAAAAGCAAATGAATGAATATGAATGAGTCGGAAGACAAATTCTTAAAAAAAACGACCAAAACTCTCGACTGATTGAAATTCTACAGAATTATTTGACTTACCAGTATATATATATAAATATATAAATTGCTTAAATCTAAAAGACTAGAATGGAACTAAATACCATCGTATTTGAGGAAAGAAACTGGTTCCAGTTGGCATTTCAGTTAAGGCATTGCATCAACCTATTAACTGCTCATATAAATAACTTAGCCAACTCCTGTTTCTATAGAAACTATACTTACTCGTTTCTTGGTAGGGTGGGTGCAGTATCAAATGAAAAACTAGATTTTCCAGTTTTCATTTTTTCAGATGACGGTGATGTATAGTAGGAGAGGATTTCTGGTGACTGAAATTTGAAATTTGAAAAACTATCAACACAATCATAACGTATATATGTTTTATACAGTAGAGCTATTTCTGCAAGAGTAGGAAACACTGACCTATGGGTACATGTATACGCAGTATGACATGCCATAACAATGTAATGACTTCCATTATCTTCCAGTAATTTAACCAATTACAAGGTATAGTTGAGAATACAGCAAGATGTGGTACAAATATAGCATGGCTACAAATTTCTATGCATTGCTTTCTACTAGTTCAGGGGAAAACACTTGACGATAGAAAGTTGATACAGATAGGCAAGATCATAGTCAACTATGTACAGTATGTACACAACTTAGCCACATATTCAGCTCACACACGGCATTCACATAGTTGCTGAATGATTCGTGTGACTTGCAAATGATCTACTCGTGTAATACAGTTATTTATCATTTTAATGAAACAAATGGATGCAAAGCGTTTTGGTTGAACATTTGGCCACTGAATTAATACAATATATTATTGCTGCAATAAAGTTCATTAACAAAAGCTCATTACCATCGGTTCATTTAGGACTTTGCATATTAACTCTTCTCTTCCTCTCAAATAAAGAGCAAAATATTTGAAGCCCTAAAATGATTCAGAAAAATAAGAAAAAGATGGAAGCTTAATATAAACAGAAGTTATTATCTACATCATAACATAATTCTTAAAATCATTAAAGGAAATTGGCTTAATCATTTATATGGTGACTAATCGTTTACCTTCAGACATCCTACTCTCAGAATTTCTCCCAAAAATCCTTGCAATCTCTTCTTCTCCTGTTTAACATGAAAAGGCACCTTAACATAAGACAACATAACTCTTGCAAAAAAAAACCTTAAATTACATCAATTATGAATTCATAAAGAGTATGATGCTTAGTGGGATATTAGCAGGTGGCAAGCATAGGATATTAAGAATGGTTTTGGGTATTTATTACCGCTTGTGTTTTGACTGTTGTTTGATGCTGTGCGGCCGCCATCTTGGATGTTTGTCTACTTGGTAACCAGGCGATCTTAGAATAATCCACTTTTGTTTTTTGTTTTAAATATAAAATACTCTCTTATCTCAACGAAAGTATACAAAGCTTTGCGTTTTATGCTTTTTATAAATTTAAGGAATAAAATAAAATGAAATAAAATAAATGATAAACAAATAAAATAAAATAAAATGGAATTATGTAACCAGGCCGTGGTCCCACAGGGATACCGCGCTCTAGTYATCAGTTGTCAGTTTGAATATTTACCAACAAAAGGATAACAAAAAGGTGGCTATTTGGCCGTTATAGGCTACATTTACCACTAAAATACATCTATCTTCATCGTATCGCATTTATTAGTAATAGTAAATCCATTTTTTAAAGGGAATGAAGTCATTTAAGCCATAACGAAAGGTTAAAAGCCATGTGAGTTCTGAGTATGACAGCTTAAAGTTGAAGCTCTTTCTCCTTCTGCAAAATCATATGGATTTTTGAACCAGAATATTGGACTGAAGACAATGGAGATAGAATCTCTTACAGGCATTTTTGCTGGCAGGTGGGCTAGAATATCGTGTTATTTGCTATTTTGATCCATGTTTTGAATATTTGACGTTTAGTTTATCTTTCTATAGATTGTTTACTCTTTCACTTTTTGTTGTAATTATTGTGTAATTTAATCAGAGCATAGTAGAGTCGTTGGATATATTAACAGCACTACACATGCAGATTGTCTTACAGATGTTTTAAATGAAGTATGCAGGTAATGCACACTTTTTCCAAACATGTGTTCATCTATTTATAAGTTATTACTCATTTTCTCTTCTGTAAAACAGTGGATTACACTAAAATAGTTGCATTTGATTTAAAAAATATTAAAGCAATACTCATTATGGAGTGGGTTTTGTATCAGTGAGAAATGTACGGTACTGAGTTGCAGCACAAAATTGATGCAACATGCTGGAACATTGAAATGGCTTCCTGTGCCATTGTCTTTCAGTATCCAATGACAACACATAGTAACGGCTATGGTAAGATACAGTATGGCTGGAATATGACTAAGAATTTGCTTTATTTTTCCCGTCTATGATACAAAAACTGCAATATTTCCAGTGGATGATTCATGCACAAAAACCTGCAAGAGGCCATGCAAGTACCAGTGCAAGTCCTGGTGCTGGGTTAAGGGGATGGGTGTTCATCTTTCACAGTCCCCCCCCCCCCCCCCCCCCCCCCCCCCCATGTACCCCTTCCTATCACTATCCCAGTCAGCCATAGAACTTGTAAAACTAATAGAAATATTAGGAAACTAAAACAGTTTGTGGGCCAAGTTATCATTCATCAACAAGTAGAATATGTCCAACAATTACATGCAATCCTAATGTCAAGAAAATAAAATAAAAACTTTTACAGAACTACTAAATTTATCACTATAAATACTCAATCAAGTGATGATCAAAGCCTACCTTGTCAGAGAAGTTTACTTTCTCTGCGAGTTCTTTGTTGTACCTTCTTCCTGTGAGGCTTGGTGTTCTACTCTTTCTCACTTTCTTCATACTGTAGCTACGATAATTTGTGGTCTGCAGACTCAGGTAGTTTGTACAAATTCTGAGTAATATTTACTTTAAAGCAGTGTTGAATATTTCTTTAGCTTCCTCGAATATTGTTGAAGTCTTTTTTTTTTTAAACTTTTAAAGCCCAAGACTTTATATCAATATGACTTACAGGTTTACTGAATAGCTTTGTTGCATCATTCAAAGCTAAGATTAATATAGAAGAAAAAAAATGAGGATCAATTCTTGAAGTGTATTAATAAGTATTAACCCAAAGTACTAGAATAAACTTCAAAATTTAAATATATGTAAGTAGAAAACTAGAATATTGATGACCTTCAGTGTTTTGTTACATATTTATGAGATAACTGTATTGTTTTATTATATAGATTAAGACAGGTGTCCTATGCTTTATAAATGTATTCACAGTGTGCTTTCATTTGTTGAAGCTATATTGTTAAGAATTATGAGATATCTTAGAACTATGTTGAATATATGGATACTYGTGGGTACTTTGAAGCCTTTTTAACTTCTAGATTCAATCTCTTAGTTTACCTTGGATGTAATGTCTTCTCAGTATTTCACACCATATGTCTTTCTCTATGAGTTACATCCATATTCATGAGACTTCTCATGCACAGCCATCAAACAAAGAAACAATGAAACTCTAGACATTTGGTCTAAAATGGGAAAACATTATGCCCAAGGTAAAGAGGTTGATATATTCTGTGTATCACAGACTTTTTTAAAGTTTTGGGCTTCCTGTGGAATGCTAATTATCCTACAGGCAATCCACATTTTTAATTGTTAATCAAAAGTAACTCTGTTAGTCATTAATATAAAACAAAATTCGTAATATCAATCTCTTATGCTTTTCTATTTAAGCATTTTTATAAACAATATTTTTTTWAAATAAATGACGGCATTATCTTGATTAACCCATTGTAATTATTTATGCATTTGTGTTTAATTTTTTTTTTTTTTTTTTTCTAGCTTGGGTCTTAAAGGAAACCTAACATCTTGTGAGCATGAGCTTAAAGAGGTATGTTCCAATGGATTCAAATATTTATTCATTATGAATACAGTATAAAAATTTATAATTTTATTTTGGTGAACAATTGAAAATTTCTTTACAAAACATATCTTGAAATAATTAATTTTATTTATTTATTTTAATAATTTAATTTCTGAAAAATCCAACATGATCATCTGTTTGTATTGTGAATCACACGTTGTAAGCTCACAACAAAACTGAAATCCAATTATCAGCTACATGCAAACATACTGTATATGCACCTGCTACCAGATTATAGCATCCTGCTTCACTGATATCACACCAACAACACCTACCTCCATCTACGACATGCTGTCCTACTCTTAGTATGCCACCAACTTGGCATCTGAAATCTATAAGACATTCACTGATACAACAAGCCTTTGGTTTTAAAATGTCTAGTTTTCTTTGCATCAAATGTGAGAAAAAGGAAGCCCTTACTTCATGTCTAACTTGTGATGGTGGTCTGTGTACTAAATGCTGGGATATCATGCATTATAAGGTCGGGCGCCTAAATAAATCTTCAGAGATATATTTTTGAATAACTACATGTATCTAGAGATTTCATCTCTTGTCAGTGATATATTTTATTTCAAACAAAAAAATTTTACAAAAAATATCAAAATTAATTGAAAACATTTCCACCTGTTTCTGCCTAGTAATTCATGATTATCATGAAATCTAAGATTTATTCTTTTGCACCATAGAGTTTAATATTAGTGAATGGTTTCATATGATCAGTGGTGTTTATATATTCAAAACATTGATACTCAAGATGCAATGGGAAGCTATTGATTTATCATTTTTTATTCAAGATAATAATATCATGAATCACTTGTAACAGATTTTAGAATTTTTGACATTTTGTTTAAAATGTTTTTGATTTTAATTTGTTTTTTCATTTTGTTTTTTATTTTTTATAATCTTTTTATTGAGATTCACACTACAGATTTTATTTTTTTCCTGGCTTATTTTTTGTGTTTTAGTACTACATATAATTCATGCAAATCCAGAAAGTATAATAACATTACAGTGTGAACATGTGTTTTTATTGTTTACATTTTGTGCTCCTTTTGTCCTCATAGCCTTGACTATTGTTTGTTGTGGATAATAATGATATATTATCTTACTTATCGTCTAATTTTTTCATCTTTTCTGGATTCTTAACACAATAGATTCAGTTTAATTTATGAAAAACGTATTAATTTTTTTACCAAGTAAGAGTTCCTATTATAGTTATAATTCTAATTATTATTGTATGACATTTTCAATTTTTTACAGTTAAGAATTTAAAACAAATTCAAAATGGGATATTCATATTCAAACTAATTAAAATGTGTATAAAATATTTTTTAATTCAAAATTGCAAAATTGTTAATGTACTTTAAGGTTTCAAAATAGGGCTTTCATCAATCCTGTTTTTACAAGTGACAGTCGTACATGTATGAGTCAAAAATAATTAATAATACATGCTATTTACAGTACTCACTTGCGTTTATACTCAGTCTACTGGTCAATGCAAGAATCAATATATGCTTACACAGATGATTTTATCTGTTGCCTCTACATTTGCAATTACAATAGTTGCGTTTAATTTTTTTGTTTTTCTTTTCTTTCATTTTTCTGTCCATGATTTTCTAATAAAAATTGTGTGCTAAGCCTTTTTTTTTTTTTTTTCCGGTCCGGTATCCTAATAAATCGTGCATTCTGATTGGCTGTTTGAGTGGACGGTATTTTGTCAGTATGTGCCCACGCGCGTGGTCCGGTATCCTTTGCCGCTAAACGGCAACACAAAACGATTACAAAAACAAGTAAGAAAAATACAGGGAAAAAATAAATAAGTTATTTACTGTCCTACAGTCGGTCCGGATAGGGAAAAATTGTGCCCTCGGTCTTGAAAACGGACCTCGGCCTAACGGCTTCAGTCCATATATTCAAGACTTAGGGCACAGTTTTTCCCTATCTGGACCTCCTGGCCGGTAAATAACATATATATATATATATATATATACATACCAGTCCAATATTTTTATTTGCTTTGTTTTGACAGCTAATGCGTCAGATTGACCTGATGGTTACTGCTAAGAAAGCAGAGTGGGAAAACCACATGCATGCCGTCCAGATTCAACTGGAAAAGAGAAACAAGGAAGTTGGGTTTGTCAGGGCACAGCTGGAACAAAAAAATCAAGAGGTATTTTTATATGTTTGAACATTCCTTGCTTGTATATATGCTGTTACAACAACACTGTCTCTTGCAGCTGTATATTTCAAGCCTGTGGGATTTCAGGTTTGATTCTTGGTTGAACTGCAAATGTGATTTGGGTATATTTTTTTAATGTTTTCTCTCCCTTTTTTCCTGGTTCACCTGTTTTCCTCCCTCCATAAAAAATGCATTTAAATTGTGAGGAGAGTGTCTCGTAAATAGTAAGGATAGTGGGTAGAACCAGGAGGGATGCAAACCTGAGAAGAGGCCCTTACAGAGARTGATGGTTGTGAAATATCTGATTTGTAGTTTTAAAAGTTTTTTTAATCTAAATATGATCGCTTTTTAGGTGGAGAAGCTACAGTACAGAGTAGATGAGATGGAGATGAACCAAAGAGATGGCATATCTGAGTATGAACAACAAGTTATGCACCTGAAGGAGGAAGTGAGTTAAATCATTCTTTTTAAACTTTACTCTGTCAAACTTCTGAAAACTTTAGGAAACATATGTTTGGTGGGCACTGCTAATGAGCTGTATCTCACCAATGCAACCCAGGTTTGATTCTGGCTAGATAGACTGAACAGTCTCTCCCTGCATGTTTGACGTAAAATAAATTACTAAGAAAACAAAAAATTCATTCATTTTATATTTTTATCTCATTTTATCTATGCCCTCCCCCCCTTCCCCTTCCCCCGCCATCCTATAGCTTCTCCTACTCCCATTGGTTTTTATCCGATGTCATGTCATTTACAGTGTAATGCATTATAATAATTGGATGGTTTACCATTAGGTTGATAATTTGAAGTATGAACATGAAAAGATTCAAAAGAAAAGTGAAAAGCAAGTCCTTCAAGGAGAGAAAGAAAAAGAACAGGTAAACACATAGAGCAGTTATTATATGTTACTGACTTACAGCATCTATATAATACGACATGCCATAACATTGAAATGGCTTTACATGAGAATGGTTATCGTATGAGTGGGAAACATACGGTACTGACTTGCAGCACGTACACGGTACGACGTGCCATAACATTGAAATGGCTTACCATAAGAATGGTTATCATATGCGTGGGAGACATACGGTACTGACTTACAGCATTTATATGATACGACATGCCATAGCATTGAAATGGCTTCCCATAAGAATGGCTATCATATGAGTGGGAAACATACAATATTGAATTACAGCACGTACACAGTACGACAAAACATTTGTCAACAAGAATAAACATTTATAATATGTTTTATTTGGTACTTAAGCTTGTCTTAGACTTGAATGCAAGAGATGCAGAGGTGCAAAGATTAAAAGAGCGACTTGAGGTACTATTTATCTGAAGAGCTTGAGCTATAAACCCTATATAGAGGTCCCCTTACTAAACTGAATTATTTATTTGAATGTATATAGGAGTACAAGTTGAAGGTATTAGAATGGGAGGGAGCTCGTCATGCATGGGAAGAAAGAATCAGAGGGCTAGAAAATCAAAAGAAAACACTTCTAGAAAAGAGTGATATGACCCAGGTATGTAACACCATGTAAACCATTATGTATACCATGCTCTTGGGTGGGGCCAAGGGGGGACATACTATGCTCTAGGGTGATATATACCATGGTTATGGGCGAGGCCAATGGGCGCCATACTATGCCATGCAGTTATGTATACCATGCTCTTGGGCAGGGCCAAGGGGGGCCATACTATGCCATGGAGTTATGTATACCATGCTCTTGGGCGAGGCCAAGGGGGTACATACCATGCTCTAGTGTGATGTATACCATGGTATTGGGCAGGGCTAATGGGGACCATACTATGTTACTATGCTCTATAGCGATATATGTCATGCTCTTAGGCAGGACCAAGGGGGCCCTTTCCTTCCTTCCTTATTTTATTGTATATTTTATTCTTCGTTTCTGTTAATTACTAGCAACAGCTGCTTGGTTACCAAAACCAACTGAACAAAAGAAGAAATATACTTGACAATATGGAACACAGCCGTCAGCGTGAAATACGAGACTTGGAAGCTCAGGTTAGAATGATATATCAAGTTGAACATTATTTGTGGGAAGCACAGCAGTTTGGGTGTGCTGATAATGCTTCGCTTCTCACCAATGTCATGCCAGATGCACTATGTCTGGGAGGTAGTATCTTTGACTAATATGTTAGCACAGAAAATCCTCAGACCCTTTGTACTTGGCTTTTCACCAACCTATCACTCCTTTAAGTTTAGCAAATCAGGACTAGCCTTGTAGTCCCTCTACTTTATGCTGCAGACCCACATTTTCCCTATTTGTAATTTGGAGCATTGTAGCACTTAAATATGTACTGCATCTTGGGAACCAAACACTTATCAATATTCAATTAACCCTTTTTTTTACATTACGATTTTGCAGCTGGAAAGAATCAAAGAAGAATCTGAAAGTAAAGAAGACACAATAACTGAGTAAGTGGTGCCAGAATTTAGGAAAATTATTGCACTTATTTTTCTAATTCCAGTTAAAGATGAATTACTGGGGATCTGTTTTATTTTGCTTCTGATGACGATGGTGACCATCAAAACTAAAAGTAAGGTAAAAGATTATAGAGTAGTGCATGGCCTCACTCAATTAATCATTATCTATTTTATTAGGCTTAAAGATTCTCTAGACAGTGCGTTATCGGCCAGCAAGCAACAGGCCTCAGAAATTGCTCAGTTGCAAGAAGATTTGAGGGTTGCACTTGATGCTTTACAGGTATGGTTCATAACTTGCAGTCATTCATGATTGATTCTTTGATGGATATTCAACAACAATTCCTATGCATAATCTTTTTACTGATTTACACTGTGTTCTGTTCACTTGTTGTTGCTCAACACACTTCTAGGTTCCAAATAGTAACTATACTAGTCGTTATCATGTTCATTATTAATGTTCTGAATGAATCTTTATAACAGCAATTGGAAGATGAAAAGGCACATGTTTTGGAAGAGTTGCATTCAAGAGATCACCTTATCCAGGTAATAGGCTGAGGCCATAGCTGTACATGCATAACCCCCCCCCCCCCCCCTCTCCCTTCCCACCACTCAAAACTGCAGTCCCTGTAATAGATAGTTTGAGGTTCAAACTAAACACAGTTAATTGCAATACCATTTCCTAAATGTAAGTATTCATTTGTTTATCTTCATTAGGCAGCAGAAGTAGATCAACTGAAGCATGCTGATGATATTATGAAGCTAGAACAAAGTCTAACACTAAAGGACGAAGTAATAAGGTACGCCTAGTAGCCAGAATAACTCGCCATGGATCTTACATATCATAAACTAGTCTATCATCATACATCAACAGTCGACCATGTGCCGGTTGCCCAATAATGATTATTGCAATTTCATGATTAGAATATATTTCTGGTGTAATATTGTGTAGGAAGTTTGAAGGTGCTACCACAAGAACCGAGAACATGGAACTGAGAAGGCTAAAAGAGGATTTGAGAACTTCTAGAATTGAAATGCAGTAAGTGCCTTGTCTAGAAAAAATGACTGAAAAATACGTAGTGTATGACGTGGCTGTAGGGTAGAAACCATAGGGTAGTTTCGTATTAATGGTAAAATGATGTGTCACCGTGCCGAAGCCATACCATAAGTTACCGTAACCGTATCTAGGCGTTGTGACTGGGTGAATTTCTAGAAGACAATGGGAAGCCATTTCAATGTTACAGCATGTCGTACCGTGTAGGTGCTGCAAGTCAGTAACGTATGTTTCCCACTCATACGAAATCCATTCTCGTGGGAAGCCATATCAATGTTACRACATATCGTACCGTGTGCGTGCTGTAAGTCAGTACTGTACGTTTCCCACTCATACGATAACCATTCTCATGGGAAGCCATATCAATGTTACCGCATGTCGTACCGTGTAGGTGCTGTAAGGCAGTACTGTACGTTTCCCACTCATACGATAACCATTCTCATGGGAAGCCATATCAATGTTACGGCATGTCGTACCGTGTAGGTGCTGTAAGGCAGTACTGTACGTTTCCCACTCACACGATAACCATTCTCATGGGAAGCCATATCAATGTTACGGCATGTCGTACCGTGTGCGTGCTGTAATTCAGTACCGTATGTTTCCCACTCATACGATAACCATTCTTGTGACAAGCCATTTCAATATTACGACATGTCGTACCGTGTGCGTACTGTAAGTCAGTACCGCATGTTACCCACTCATATAAACCGCTCTATTCATTCACCTTTAGACAATTACATATCATTAGCTTATCCTTTATATCTATTCTCTTCCAGATCTCATATTGATTCTGAAGCATTCCTTAAAGAGCAGCTGGAGCATACAACTCAGAAGTACGTACAGTACAAGACCAAAAGGCTTGACTCGTGAAAGAAAGGAAAGGAAAATAATAAGAATATATGGGGGGAGGGGGGATGGTTTGGAAAATGAGTGAATACCCTATGATAATATTGCTGTACCTTGGTTGTCAAATACCTCTCCCTCCAAGCTAATAGCACACACAGGCCTGCCAGCCAGTCACTGTTGCTTGGATTGAGAAGCCGTGTAAGGGTTATGGGGTTGTATTAAATCCAGTGGCAGATATATAGAAATGTGAACCTGTAATACTATGTAAAAACATGAATGCTGTATTTTATCGACAGATTGGAAACATCTAACAAGACAAATGCCAAGCTGCAGGCACAACTGAAAAGAAAGGCAAGTTGAAGTGAATTGACTGTCCATGATACAGGGTGGAGCGGATTAATTTATTCATGTTTTCTATCGCAGGAAGAAGAACTAAGGAAAATAACGGAGGACGATTTTCAACACCTGACCGCAGAAAGGAATAAGGTGCTGTATAATGCGTACGTTATACGAATGTCGTACCATCAACACTTTGCTAACTCTCAGCAAATGGTTGTGATCATGGAATGGAATCATTCATATATTTATTAAGATGTTCTTGTTGCTTTTAAAGTTATTAAACATGTGAATCGTGTTTTATCAAGAAAATATTTCTCGAAAGAAAAATTTCTGAGCTCCAAACCAGTCATTTATTTATTGTTTTGTTGCTTCCAGTTACAAGAAAAGTTATATTCCTTAGAAGAAGGACACGCTGGTGCTCTGAACGGCATGAAGAGCGAAGTAGATAATTTGGCCTTGCAGCTTCACAAAAGGTTTGAATCGTTTGGKGACACACATTACAACAAAATCACGCAACATCGCTTGTGTCAGCCTGCTATGCTAAGATATTTGGTCAGCAGATATAAATTTGGTGCAAGCTGATTGGCTGGAAATTTCAAAATGTAGCAGGTAATGTTGCAGCCATGCAACGTTGCGTGCAACAAGTTTGGGGTAGACACACGCTGCAACAGTCCTTTTGCGTGCAATGTTGCATGCAATGTTGCACCGTGTGTCAGCACCTTAAGGGACGGTTAAGGTTAGGGTTACCATTAGATAATTAATTGAGGGGGAGTTTGCGTAAATCCCAAAAAGGACATCGAGCAAGCAATTCACCTAAGAAAAAAATATCCTTTCAGAGAGAAAAATATATTGGGGCAAAACAAATTGCGTAGAGGTGTTGTCATAAAACGTAACTTCCTGCAACCTCCCCCTCAATTATCTAATGGTTCATCACTATAGGAAAATATCTTTAAAGAAGGAGTAAACGTCGCCATTGCCTTCTAAATTCCGTTAAAAGTACTCTCTAAATATCTACAATCTCCTGTGGATTGGCGTATAGCGCACTGGCAGAAGTATCAGATTGCACAATAAGACAGGACCCACATACAATCTATGGCATATTGTTATAGGTATCGTTACGAACGTTCTGCAGCAAATCCAGTGTTCAGAGCCCCTTAACATCTACAACCTACAAACACTTGATAACTATTAATATCTATTTGAACCAGGGATACGTCCATGGCTGATGTCAGTGAAAAACTACAAAGAATGGAGAAAGAATTGAGAGAAGCTACAAACCGTTACGACAGATGTGGTGCAGAGTTGCAAGTGAGATGTTTATAAGTTTTTGTTTTTCTTGATAAAAAGCCTATTGATGTTTTAAATAAGTTAAGCGTGAATTTGTGAAAAATACGCGCACAGCCTAACAGATCTTAAGCTGATTCACTCAACCACAATTAACGGCGGAGTCTCGCCTCCACCAATCAGTTTTGAAACATTAGCTCTTGTGTGAAGTCATCAGTTTATTCAAACAAGAAAATATTGTTGATGTGCATACAGTATTCTTACCCTGACTTATTACCTGTTTAAGGTGACTAACGCTCAACTAGATGCACTACGAATAGAGAACAAGCACCTGAGAGATGCTGCACGTGACCAGCTAGATATATCTGAGGTATACCAGGGAAATATGGAGTTTATTGCACAATTAGAGGTTAGTGCATCTCTTCTCATGAAAATAAAAGGACAAACGACGTGGGCGCCATAAAAGACACCAAGACCAAATCTTTTGTCAAAGTCAACCAACATGGCATTGTTTTTTTTGCTTTTTTTTAATCTCTTAGGCTGATAACAGAGTACTTAGAATGGAGGTTGTATCTTTACGGGAACAGCTCAGTGCTGTAGAGGTTAACCAACAAGACAAATTACGTTCTGCGTTGAAAAAAAGTCAACATACCCTAGACGACATTAAACAAAATGAATTCAGGTAAGTTTTAAAATGATGTCTGAAGGGGTTATTGTCATTGATAATTTGTAAGCATTCCTAAGAGAATCGAGAAGACATGTCGGCCATGTTGATGGTATTAGTGGAAGCTAATGAGAAATCTTTCGTTAGATTACATAGATACTACGTGGAAAAAATCAATATTTAAAGCCAGCGTGGCTGTCGTGTGAGGAAAATCCCTTTGCTCTCAGGAGTTAAATTCTTTTGATTGTATTGTTCCTGCCATCTAACTTGGCTGCCATCACTTGATGGTGAACCTCGCCCTCTCTTACTCATACCTACGTCACTCATTTTAATTGCTATTTGCTAAACAACAATTAAAACCGTTTTTCATTTAGACGCCATAGTGAACTCCAAACTGAATCAGAACGTAAGATAGCAGCGCTAGAGGCGCGACTGGAATCAACGATACGAATATACGAAACCCAACTACACTTCACACAGTCAGAAAATGAACGACTTAAAATGAACCAATCAAAAGGAAAAGTATACCAACAAGGTTTGTATGTGAGGCATAGATCTCTAACTAGGCCAGGATAACCAATGTGGGCATTGCAGGCGGGCTTACTAGTATGTTTCATGGAAACACTTTGATTGACACCTCCCCAAACCCTATAATGTCGCGACGATAAAGTGTGCGAGTTCGCGCGTTTAATTTCGATAGTATGTAGTGTAATCCGGCCATAGTCCATAGTAACCAATGTATTATTTTTATGAACATGATTGACGTGTTTGCTTTTGTAAAGGAATGATTTTAAACTGGCTTTCATTTATTAAGCTCCTTATCGATTGGATTCATTGGTAGTACAGCCTTGACACACTTCGTATTGTATTTAGACCATTACGAACTTCGAATCTGCACTTCTTATTTATCCACTGTTTTTCACAGCTTCTGCATACACATCTTTACCAAATGGTACGAGTGTTCTTCCTGAGTATGTGCCTAAACGACAACCACAAGACATTAGCCATACTAGTGTTAGTGACTACACCGACACTGAAGCACTCACCTATGCAGACCTTGGTGGTGCGGCTATTGTATCAGAGTCAGAGGTAAGTCCAGAAGACATAGCCATACTAGTGTTAGTGACTACACCGACACTGAAGCACTCACTTATGCAGACCTTAGTGGTCCAGCTGTTGTATCAGAGTCAGAGGTAAGTCCAGAAGACATAGCCATACTAGTGTTAGTGACTACACCGACACTGAGGCACTCACCTATGCAGACCTTGGTGGTCCAGCTGTTGTATCAGAGTCAGAGGTAAGTCCACAAGACATTAGCCATACTAGTGTTAGTAAATACACCGACACTGAAGCACTCACTTATGCAGATCGTGAGTGGTCTCAACAAAATAGGATTTTGGTGGACGTCAATCAAAGCGTTCCCATGACAAGTGTCCGTGACTATGATATGTTGTGAAACGTGATTGACGTCCACCAAAACCTTGTGTTTGTCGCGCTTCGCGCATGTGACTCTGAAGAGATCTAAGTATTACCTTTAGTATTACCCTGACGAAACAAGGACGATTCTTAAGGAAGATTATTAATCTACTTTTTGTCGTTAATTTAACTTAGAGGTCTGCTACTCCTCGTGGCTCGCGGCGAACGTCTCTCACAGCTGATTTCGTTGCTGAAGAGAATAGACGAGAAAGAGAACTAGAAAGAATCCTGGATGGTAGAATAGAAGACTTGAAAACTAATACAGACTATATCATCCATAAATATTCCTAGCATYGATATCTATTCCTTATAGTGATGTGTTGTGTATATAAGTCGTAAATTATTGAGGACTTGTAAAAAGGTGTGTGACCATAATTGGTTGGTCTGTTCACTGAAAAATTGCTATGTTCATAAGAGATTTTTCGTCGCAAAAGAGAGTGTATTGTATGCGCACATCTGTCATGATTGAACCTCGTCTCTTACTCTACTCGTCAGTCCTTGATGTCGAAGAGTCATGGATGTAGCTCAAAGTATTCTTCTCAAGAGTGACATTAATAAACAGATTGATAAAAATATGGGAAGAAGTTGCTTGCTTATGTAAATGACGCAAACGAGCTAAACTGGAGTGCTGGCATGATCAATAACATAACTAGTATTCAAATTTAAATAACCATTTGAAACTTCCTTGAAGCCTCGATTGAATGCAGAATCCAGTCACCGTACACCCCCATACATGATAGACCCATGATCGATCCCTCCCACCCATACACTATACACCCATGATCGATCCCTCCCACCCATACACTATACAC